TAGGGTGGATATATGATCTTCTTAGGGCAAACTTTCGTTAGAACTGAAAATTGGAATATCTGAGAAAGTAGAAAATCGCGAAATTCTTCGATTAAAGCTACGACTGTAGCTTTGCCTAAATACACCGGTGATTATCTTTTTCTGAAAATTTTAACTGCATCTAGCAGAACTGAAAAGCCCACAAAAATTGGAAAATCTCAAAAATGATTAGAGGCTCTCAACTAAACCTTCAGACGACTGTAACCTAACTCAAAGATCACCATCGCCGTCACAACTTATTCTAAATCAAACAAGCCTCTCAGCAGTCTATATTCCTTCTGTAATTTCAATGAAAGAAGAAACTTTTAAGAAACTTAACAAAACTCTTTCTCTGATTTTAGCAATGCTAATTGGCGTGCCAGTAATGAGCAAGCTAATGGGGATCAAGGATACTATAATGGTGGCTATTGGCGCCATAGCACACGCCTCTGGAAGAGTGATATTCATTATGGCCGAAATACCGGAATTATTCTACGTTGGTAATTAATCCTCACTCACTTATCAGTAGAATTAATTAAATAATTTTCTTTTTAACCAGTTAGTGTAAAGATGTATTTTTTTTTTTTTTTTTTTGGTTATAGGTGCTGCTGTGGCTGCACTGGGACCCATAGTGGCGCCAGTGTTGAGGTCGATGACCTCGAAACTCGTTTCTGTGGAAGAACGAGGTACTTAACCCAAATACCTCTTCAAAGGATCAATACAGGAAAACATTCATGTTATGAATATTTTCGTATCCTGAAAATTTTATGCAATATTGAACGCTAATGTTTTCCGAATTCTCTAATAATTCTATGATACAATTTTGCAACGAAAATTCTTAAAAAAAAGAAAAATAATAAAATAATTTACAGGTAAAGTGTTCGCTATGTTATCGGTTTGTGATAACGCAGTGCCTTTGTTCAGCGGCATCCTGTACTCTCAACTATACAACGCGACCATAAACACAGCGCCCAGCTCTATCTATTGGCTAACCTTCTCCACTCAGGTCACCGTGTTACTCTTAATTCTGTCAGTATAAAAAGTTGTCTTATCTAAGAAAAAAAAAATATGAAAAATTCTCCAGACGAAAAAAATCCATTGTAATCTCAATTCTTTCAGAGTGATCAATTTTTCTACTAGAAAAACGGAGAACATAGACGACGAAACCGACTGCCAATCTGTGTCCACCTCAACAATGGAGGTTAGCAGGTCGACGGACTTGCAAGAGAGATATAATTAAATACCAACAATACAACTTTTAATAGCAATACTACTTTTTAGCTGGTTAACCACTTTTTTTTAACGTATCTTTATAGTTGAAATTATTACAAAGTGAACGTAACATAATTAAAAGACATTTAACAATGGAAATGAAGCGTCTCATTTTTCCTGCTTGGAAAAAACTATAATTGATCTTCTACTACGTCAATCTAAGCAATGAATCATGACAATTAGGTATTAATATTAATCGTATTCTGATTCATCCGTACTTTTGTCATAATTTTCCTCTTTTTAATCTTTGCACTCGTTTTGCCGTTCCTCGTGATCAGAACGATCTACCGTGTGGCGAATTCGAAATTAAGCTAATCTAACTTTCGACTGGTCGATTGTTATTCAGCACGTGCACGCCTGAAGCGTGTCAAGGACCTTGTGATTATTGTTTATTGTTTGGAATTTGCGTAACAGTATCATTCTAACCTAATACAGTATTTCTTTCTCCGCCGTTAAGAACAAAGATGGCGTCATGGTGTCCATACTAAATGAATCTATTCACTACATAACCTATAATACATTAAAAGCGATTTTCTTTTCAGAAAAATATGGTAAAAATATTTCAAGCATTTTTTTAAAAAAGAAAACAAGGGAAATGATCGATTTTTCACCAAATTCCTAATGGAGACCTCTATTATATGGTAAAATGACTTCCATAGGAACGTGGCCAGGTTGCCAGGACTCGACAAAAGAAAGAACATATATGAGAATTAACGAGCATGTGACACACAACCAAACGGGAATTCCTCGTTTCAATTATAGGGGCTATATCGACGTGTGTCGCCAGACCTCTGACCCAGTTCCGTATCCACCTCTTGAAAATCAACCGGGTATAAAAGGTCCGCAAACCTTTTGCAAACTTAACTTGTCGATCTTCGAGCTCTGACAGTGGTGGAAGTTGAAGATCCTCGCGAAGCTGATTGATCCTATCATGGTAATACAGATACTGAAGAGTAGAGTAGTAACTGTAGAAATACTTTGTTTAATTTTATTCTGTATATAAATGGGGTAGTAATTGAACAAATTAACTTTTTCCTATTTTTTCATAATTATTCGAAGGAATATTTTTCTCAACTTTATTTTGCTTGCAAATAGGGTAATAATAGAAGAAATTATTTTTTAGGAATTTTTGAAGGTGTAACTGAAAAAAGAATTTTTTTTTTAATACAAGAATTTATTTTTCTACGTTGATTTTATTGCAACTGGAAGAATCATTTTTCCCATTCTTTATGCTTTCTTTCACGGATAGATGAGAATTGGATTGCAAAGTGTAGAAAGTTGTACAGTAATTTGTAACAATTTTGGAATTACACTGCCACTTGACTAATCTACGAACTTCATTCACTTCCTTATGAGCGTGCTGGTTATGTACCGAGTGGTCAGATCGCTCATTCCTTCATGAAATGCTAGTTATTTGAATAATCGCGACGATGCGTAAAAATCTTGAGCAAGTTTCGAAAGAGAAATTAAGCGAGATTGCTTTCTTGGGCTATTGAACTTATATTAGTGGAATTCCAGAGCATTGAAGAAGTTGAGATTCGGGAGATAAAAGAAATCTTAACTTAAAAATGATTAGAATATTACTTCAATTAGATTTAAACATTAAAAACTTGATATTACTGATATTAAAACCTAACTACACAGAATTTCCGAAATCAAATACAGTTAAATCCCAAGATTCGCACTATTAAACAATAATATAACAGATTTGCAATTATTACAAAACAAATCTTCCATTTGTGCTATTAAATAACCACACAACCACTCTTTAACTATTAAAAAATTATAATTATTTTTCAGAATATT